CCGGGGGTAAGGAGGGGGGCGGGGGTACTGTAGGTTGACGGTGGTGTAGGTGACGGGGAGCGCTCGGGTGGAGTTATGGCAGAGATGCATATGGGGGATATCTTCCAATGGCCAACGCCGTGGCGGGGGGTTCGCGGAATGGACGGGGTGGAGTGGGGGGGTGGGACGAGGGGGCGGAATGAGTTCGGCAGCAACGCTTCGCATGCGTAGTTTCCCCAAACGAATCAGCCGTAGTTTGTACCCGCTCGGTGCCACTCAATGCCACAAATCACACCAACCGCACCCTGATGGCAACAGTAAACACCCGTCCTGGTTTTCAGAGCCAAAGTTGTCGTTTCGCCCTCCGGCCATACACACGCACATACATACCCGTTGCGCGAAAACGTGTGTCCCTTGTCATCAACCCGAGTAAAGTTTTCAGAAACAGGGCACAATTGGTTGCGGATCGGCCGAACATTGTGCGGTGTTCCTCCAGTGTAGGGGAAGGCGCCCGTGCTCTGCCTCGACTGGTGCGCGTGGTCAAAGGCCAATCGGCCGGGGAATGCTACAACAAGAGCGCCCCCCCGCCCCCCCGACTCTCCCATGTTTGCAGGCTTTTCCATGCGAGCCACGTCCCCTCTGCACCCCCGAGGAGAAGCAGCATCTTCCCCCTCTGAAGGATAACGCCATCGAGGAGGAGGGAGACGAAACCCCGGGCGACGGGGGAGAAGGAGAGGGGGGCAAGACGGTGCGGGAGCTGGCGAGGCTGTGCTACGAAGACCCCTGCCGGGGGTTGCTTGAGGTGACAGGGTGTGCACGGCAGGGAGACCAGGGGGGAGGCCCGCAAACTGTTTATGGCTTGCCTCACCGTCTGCAATGTCTGGAGGTAGTGATGCACGTGCATGAGGGGGCGTCAGGGGCGGCGAGGAGGGGAGACCCTTCTTCGAATTTTTCGCTCTCAGTGGGTCAGTCCGGTCCCAAGAAACGCGTGGTCCGTGATTGCCTCGATCTCCCCTTTTGACAAAGCCGCAAGTGTAACCCAACCAGGTCGCGTCATTCCCCGTCGCCCGCCCGGCACCGCCTTCCCTCCACTCCTTGTAGCCCTCCGCCTGTCCCCCCATCCCCCACTTCCATCGGTCACACGCTCACGCCTTAAACATGCAACGAACAGATGGCGCTGCTACCGAAGATAGCGAGCGTGATCAAGAGCTGCGCGGGTCAAGTCTCTGCTGATGGTGCTCAGGCTGGTTCCGACGGCGGTGGCGGCCTTGGAGATATGGGAAGCGTTCATGGGGCCGCGAGGGCAACGGCGGAAGCGGCGGCAGTTTCGTTGCGTCCACGGGCGGCGCTGTCCTGCCTGAGGGTGCTGTGCGCGGTGGCGGGGAGGGCTCCCTGGGCCGCGGAGAGGGTGGCGAGCGAGCCTGGTCTGCTCGACGCCGTTCGGGAGGTGTGTATGCGTTCTTGTGTTGTATGTATGCATAGAATGTTCACGTGCACGCACGTGGGCCCGTGATTTTGTGTGGGGTGAGAGACAGGCGGCGCACCGATTGCAACCCCTCGTGTTTTGTTTGGCGTTGAAGAGTCGAGAGAGAGAGAGAGAGAGTGTGTGTGTGTGTGTGGTGCACGTTTTTGAGAACGTGGGAGAAGCTTTTGCAACCGGTCGCGTTGGAGATATGGTCACCCCATTTCTATCGGTTGATTGTGCGCGGGTTGCAAGGCTGCGGTTGTATCGCAGGCAGCAAGCGCACGTGCACCATCATAGTGATTGATGTTCCAACAGCTTGTGCTCGAAAAACTCTGCTGCCTATGGTTTGATAACTACCGTACACAGGTTCATGCGCGTTGTTCTTTTCCTGGGCGTAGCCTTGTCAGCGGTCACCGCCAATGCAGGCATGACGGTTGCACACCCGATACCCCTTTGTCGCCTTACAAGCGGTTAAATTACGTCGAGCTGTGGGTTGTTTTGTGTGTATGGCTTTGTGTTTTTTCTCAAACTCCCCCCGATAGCGTGTGTGTTCCGGCGGACATGGACATAGCTTGGAAAACAACCGTGCCCGAAACGTAACCCTTGGCGCCTTTCAGAGCGGTGTCCTGCTTGAAAGTGCTCCGCCGTAGGCCATTTGTCTGCCCTAACGGGGACACGTACGGTGGTGACGAATGACGGACAGTGCAATCAGATCGCCACGATTTGAGTCATCGCCGCCGCAGTCTAGGTTCGTTTCTCCGTCGTGCTTGCATTTCGCCGAACCGTGCTTCCACCACCACCCTCAACAACAACACGAACACCAGCAACACCAACAACGACAACAACAGCTGCTACTATTGCTGTTGCAACTGCTACTACAGGCGTTCTTGGAGCCGAGGACTGACGGCACGCTGCCGTTGGACCTGTCTGAAGCGGCGCCTGCAACGACAACGAAACAGCTCTCACCAGCGCCGCCACAAGAACCGGCAACACCTGCAAGAGCTGAGGGAAAGGCAAGGGGGGGAGGGCCAGGAGATGCGAACGGGTGCCCGCCACCGCCGCCACCACAAGAAGGGTTGGCACTGTTGGCCGTTAGGCTGGCGAGGGTGTTGGTGCAGAGCGGGCGCGGAGTCGCTCTGGCCCTGTCGCAGACGCCTCTGCTAGGGTCGACGAAAGGGTGAGACCAAATTGCTTTGCGAGCAATTGGTTGCCGAGAAGGACGGGAGTGCTCCCCTTGTTGTCGTTGTTGTTGTTGTTGTTGTTGTTGTTGTTGTTGTTGTTGTTGCTGGTATTGTTGTTGTTGTTGTTGTTGTTGTTGTTGTTGTTGTTGTTGTTGCTGGTATTGTTGCTGCTGCTGTTGGTGCCGTTCCTGCTTTTGATGCTGTTCCTGCTTTTGCACACCGTGAGGGCTGGGTGTAAATTGACCATACCCCGGCAACGAAGAGGTGCGTGTAGCACCAGGTCACGACCCGTGCCTCGCCAATGTCAGTGATTCTTTACATATGCCGCCGTCCGATTTCGCATCTAGAGCCGAAAGACCATGCTGGTTGTCGCGGCGCGATGTCTGAGTCCTGTCCTTGCCATTTCAAACCCGCCCTCAGGTAGCCCAACACCCCACGCTTCGTTATAATCTCAGCCAAAAATGTACTGGTAGTCGTTGCCGCAAGCAACCACAACCCACCTTCTCGCCCTCACCCCTACACGTCGATCCTCCCGACAACACCAAAGATGGCTTGCGCTGGGACAGGGCTCTCGACGGCCCCTCCCTGCGCTCGAGGCGGTGCAGCGCGAGGTCCTAGAGCTGTGGCGCTGCTGCCTGTCCTACGGCATCGACGTCGCCGCCGCGGACACTGTCGTCCTCGTAGCCCGCGGTCAGGGCTGGTGGCCGGGTCTCAGCGTTGGCGGCGTTGGCGGCGGCGTTGGCGGCGGCGGCGGCGGCGCTCCTCTTGTTGCCGATACCGTCACCGTTGAACGCGGTGACGGCGGCGGCGGTAGCGGCGGAGGGGTCGGCGGAAGTGTCGGCGAAGACCCCACCGCCGCCACTCCTGTTGCTGCCAAATCCTTACCTGTAGGTGTTGGTGTGGGTGGTGCTCGATCAACGTCTGGTGGTGCTAGCGGTGGGAGCCGTGGCGGCGATTCTGTGCCGCCGAGGCTGGCATTCTACCGCGCCCTGCACCAGCTCGCGTGCGCTTGCGTCCTCCCGCCTGGAGGCAACGCCGCCGGCAGGAACAAGAACGACGGTGCCGAGACCGCCGGCGGCGACGGCAAGGCCGGCGTTGGTGCAGCGGGGGCGGGGTTACGGAAAGAGGCCGAGGGTTTCTCTGTCGGAGGCGTCGTGGTTGTGCCCGAGTCCTGGGCGGACGTCGGTGACACCGTCGACGCGGCGGTTGAGGCCGTTCTCCTGTGGCTCTTGCGCAGCGTCCGCGGTGGCGGCGGTGTGGACGGAGGAGGGACTGCAGAGACGGCTCAGCAGGTGAGCATGCGCGGTATGTACCACATGGTTTTTCCGGTCGGGTGCGTTGCTCGATTGGCTGGTAAATCGTTCTCCCGCCACGAGGAAGAAAGAAGCGACACCCCACAAACCGTCACGGTCATCCGTGTTTCTTCCTCCCCCCCCGTTCCAATCAGAAAAACTCATACGTACACAAGGAAGAAAGCACAAAGTGCTCAACACCGTTAGCAGGATGCAGCGCACCCTTCATGCGACTCGCCGAATACCTCACAATTCTTCGCGCTTGGTAATGTGAAAGCTTGGTCCGGTGAGAACCCGGCGTGCTTCGTCCCGGCTTTGTGGGGATGCGAGGTCAATGGTCTAGCGACTACGGCATGCACGACTATGAGTACATCCCCCCCCCC